AAGGTTTAGAGGTATGGTTAGGGCACACTTCTGTAGTACAAGTCTGGTACACTTTGTGTATACATATATGTACCTCGGGTACATATCTGTAGTACCTGTTACGACAACGACCCCTTGAGCTTAATTAAGTGCCTGTGGCTACATTATGATTATGTTTAGGTTTGTAATGTGCCTAGGATTGCATTACGAATAGGTTTAAGTCAGAATAGGTTAATCAGCCTTGTACCCGTGTAGCCAAGCTAGGGTTTACAAGAGTAGATATATAGCCTTATAGATAGTTATAGGGTTAGGTTTGTGGTTAGGGGTGTGGTTGGAGATGCTGAAAGTGTAAAGTACGTATAGTGTTAAGCGAAAGTGTAGGGTGGTACTAAATCTATGTGCTTCACAGCTGTAGCCCAGCTGTTCTTGTAATGCTAGAGGTTCGCAGTGAACGTAACAGTATAGTCACAACTATTCTAATTATTAATCTATCAGCATTTTTGCCTTTGCATACACTTACACGGTCCCAACCAAGGAGGTTATATTTAGCTCCTTGGTCCCAACATGTACATAAAACACGTAAACAGCTAGCCCGACCAGACTGTGTGACTAACGTCAATATACACATATCTACTTTCCCAGCGACAACATTAGTAACTATTTTGGCGCCAATTGAATATAGCATAGAGAATTAACTTACCGCCGCACTTGAAGTTACGTTGTGACACAAGTTTGACGCAAATGAAAATTGAAGAATCTGTTAAATTTCTAAATTACTACGAGCTCCCTCCAGCACACGATTACAGCGAACGAACTACGGCTGGCGAAGGTGTTGCTGTTATTTTATCGTCTGCCCACGCATGCGCAGCACGTGCCGCTCTAGAAAATTCCACAGCCTACCCTGCTTCGCCACGCCAGTATAGAAACGTGCGTCTACCAATGGCTATCGTCGACGTTCGAAGGTAATAGGACTCGACGTTTCTGGAACCTCATAATATAATAACCTCATAAATATTAGTCTTCAAAAGTCCCATAGGGACTATAATGAAGACGGAGAGAGCAGTAGATCAAACCGATAGATCAACACTGCGGATTGCAGTGAAAAAAACAACAAATTTGCAATTTACCAAAGATGAAGGTATAAAATCGAACAGGCTTCAGATTCAGAACACGTAAGAGGGAATGCCAATCTTCACCTGACCATGATAAATTTTATGGAGTCATAAGTTTAGCATGGAGAAAGCGGTCACGAAGGAGAGGCTAATCAAGACTACAGGCAATTGGAACGTCTCAATAAAAAAAAAATGTAAACACGAAATGTATTTACTACCAATGGTTTCTTTACTCTATTTCGCCTATTATTGCCCGTAAATGCCAGTCAGACTCTCTTATTCAGGTTGTTTGTGCACAGGGCGGGCGTGCGGTGTACTTGTGTGTTGCAGATGAGCAATTGACCGACATTTACGGGTAATTATCGGCAATAATCGGCGAAATAGAGTAGAGAAACATTAAGGACATTTGGTACATTTTTTACATTTGGTAGTAAATACATTTCGTGTTTATATTTTTTTTTTTTATTGAGACGTTTCAAGTGCCTGTGATCAAGACGAGCCAAAACAACATCAACACTATCATGATGGTTTTTGGAAACCAATCTCGCAGCTTTATGCTGAATGGCATCCAATTTAGAGCCGTTCGATCTGAAGTGTATAAGGGCACCAGCCTGGCGAAGCATATTCTAATATCGGCAGAACCGATCTGCAGGGCCGAGTTTTAGAAAAAGTCATATCGTAATAACGTATAACGAAGTTTCCCATATCCGGTTATGCCTTATATTACGTTCTATTGTATTATGTGCTCAGTGCTATATGCTATATTGATATACTATAATATTATTGATACTATATATCAAGATATACTATATATATATATATATGATAATTGTCATTATACCGCCCGATCTAAGCTGATAACAATGATATACTATATACATGTTCTCTGGCAATCTAACCCACCCCCTCTGCCAGCACAAAACAAAGATTTCTATCATCCTAATTTATGAAGTTCAGAGACCATGGCATTGCCCCCCCCGCCACCTACCGCGTTGAATGAATTCCTAAGGCGAATATATAAGGCCTCCCCTAGGTTATATATTATATATTGGCAAGCCTATATTTGATTTAGTCTTTACCTACGTGTTCATATTTGACAACAACTAGCCGGACCATGCTTTACGACTCTTACTTGCCACGTATAGTGAGAAACCAAAAGGCAAACCATGGTTAGGCAACGGCGTGCATAATTATATCATTATATCCACAGTGACTGGTACGGATGCATGTCCGTGCCACCCCACACGCTACAGCCCACAACCACGCCACGCACAGCACGCATCGCACGCATGCACGTTAACCCGACTCCTACAAGCACACACACACACACGTACGCACGCACTGCACCACACACACACACACACCGCGCGCGCCACACATACACACACACACACAACACACACACACACACACACACACACACACACACACACACAGCACACACACAACACCACACACACACACATTATATATATATAAATTATATATATATTATTATGCAAGATACATAATACATAAAAGTAATAATATTATAAAAAAAAAATATAATACATCATAATACATAAACATAATTAATCTCTATATGTACTCATAATATATACCTATATATAATAATATATATATATATGCCGTAGCGTGAGCCTGGTGGGGGGAGCGCTGTCACTGATTATATATGCATGGGTGTCTTACGTACGCGGGATAAAATATAAGAATATAAAGAATATGAGATATATGAATAAGACACTTCTTGCATGCACGCACAAATATTTCACACTCTGCCTGCACAAATTGATTCATTCACCGCCCAGAGAACTCACTCCTAGAGTATGCTGATCTCTCTTTATATCCAGAGACTTGAGGCGTGACATCGGCTGTATAGGTATACCTGTATACCTGTATATACCTGTATATACCTGTATAGTGCGTATTACAATAGCTATATATAGGTGTGGCTGAAAGCCAGCATCTTCACAGACGCCTACGCGCACATACCTGCACACACGCACGTACGCACACACGCATGTACTCACACACGCGCACGCACACGCACACGCATGTAGGGCCTACACATGCACACGCGCGCATGCACACGCACACGCACACGCACACGCACACACACACGCGCGCGCACACACGCATGTACGCACGCACACACACACACACACACACACACACACACACACGCGCACGCGCACGTGCACGCGCACGCACGCGCACACGCACACACACACGCACACGCACACACACGCACGCACGCACGCACACATCGCGCTTGTCGAAACTCTTATCTACCTCATACTCCCCTGACGTATATTCTTGACGGTCCAACGAACAGTAACGAGAATCGGCGGGTAAAGCACCCGGCCAATACTGCAGATTGCAAGTAAAATAATTTGTTTTTACCCAGGAACGCAACGAACGACAACGTTCGCAGCTATAGGAGCTTAAAAAAAACCTATAGCGAGGCGTGTATGCAGCGGCGGCTATAGAGGGGGGTTGAGTGGGTTGCAGCCCCCTTCCCCGTTCAGCCACTGACTAATGTTACCAGGAGTGAATAATAATCGATTATTAATAGATTATTAATATAGATAACCTATTATTATTAATATATATAATGTATTATTATTCATTTCTGATGTTATGATACTAGTAAAATGGGGCCAACCTAGCACCGCTTGCCTTCGGCACGCCTTCAGTGACTCATATATCAACCCTCCGTCTCCTGAAAGCTAGATCCGGCATTAGTATGAAGAGGCGAAGCCTTGTGAGTCAGGTGCCCTCGGCGGTCGCCACCTATGCATCGTAGGTAGTTCTTCATACTGCAATTTGTGACTGTGACATCAAGAGGAGTGTCATAGTCATAATACAGACACTCTGTGTTATCACGCTCCTGATCACATCAAAGGTTAATAATGACAAATTTGTCGTAATGACAAAAACGTATAAGAACGGCCGAGGAAAATTCTCTTGGCAGTCAACGGCGACCGACGTTGAAGCACCTTTTTCATGTGCAATAGCATAGCGGGGAACCCAGGGCGTGATGCTGCGAGCAAAGTGAATATTATAGGTCGGATTTTACCAAGCACACGTGCTGTCGGCCCGCACGGCTCCACATTGAACGTATAAGAATGACAGAAGAAAATTCTTTTGGCAGTGAACGGTGACCGACACACGAGCGCCATCTACTTATACATTAATAGAGGCATTGCGGGGATTCCGGGGCGCGATGCTGCGAGCAACGTGAATATTTCACATCGGATTTTACTAAACGCACGTGCTGTCGGCCCGCCTGGCTCCACTTTGAACGTATAAGAACTGCCGAAGAAAATTCCCTTGGCAGTCAACGGTGACCGACGTACGAGCGCCTTTTCCATGTACAATAATAGCGCGGGAAACCCAGGGCGTGATACTGCGAACAATGTGAATATTTTACATCGAATTTTACTAAGCACACGTGCTGTCTGCCTGCCTGGCTCCCCTTTGAACGTCTAAGAACGGCCGAAGAAAATTCTCTTGGCCGTCAACGGTGACCGACGCACGAGCGCCATCTCCCGGTACATTAAAATGGGCATAGAGGAAAACCCAGGGCGTGATTCTGCGAGCAAAGTGAATATTATAGATCGTATTTTACCAAGCACACGTGCTGTCGCCCCGCACGGCTCTTCTTTGAACGTATTAGGACGGCCTAAGAAAATTCTCTTGGCAGTCAACGGTAACCGACGCACGACCGCCATCTTCCGGTACATTAATACATTAATCCATCTCTTGGCAGTCATCAGCAGGCGCGCCTTTTTTCGCAAGTGTTGTAAAAATTGACAAGAACGTTTAAAAAAAAGTAGTTTAAATTCAAGCTATCTATAATATCAGGCGTGAACATAAACAAATGTGTTTTTATTTTACTTCTAATAATAATCCCAGCTGGCTGGATTGGTCACAGTACACACAGCAAAAAAATAAAATTGTTAAACAGAGGCAGTATAATGAGGCCAACACGATTTAATCGCGGCAAAAGGTGGGGCAGATATATCGCTCCACGGTGTCGGGCAAACATAATTGTTTGATGAATTATAATAAAGACGTATTGAGTGACTCATGAACTGGTTATTAATTGGGCTATACCCGGAACCCTCCCCCCAGGGAGAGGGCAGGTGCTCCTCTTTGCCAAACCTTCCCTCGCATAAGCTTTATACACAACAGCCGTGCATGTAAAGCTGTAAGCTAGGTCGTCTGCCTTCCCCTGAGGCCAGTCTAGAAACGAATATGAGATTAGACGATGAAATGCGAGTCGAGTTATTTGAAATTATGATTCGCTTACGCGCGCTCCCCCTCTCTCTCTCTCTCTCTCTCTCCCCCTCCCTCTGCTGAGGCATACGGATGGGTTTTCTCTCATTATAATAACGAAAGCCTGTTTTCCTCACCGACAGATGGCGGGACTAGCTGGATGATGATAAATGGTAATTGTTCCATTGCACGAAGCTGTCTATAATATTAATAACGTAACGATACGGCTTATTAGTGTTCCACAGATATCATATATCATGTATATATGATATCTATGCTAATGTCCATATATATCTGCTGCTATATACACTTAATGCTTGGGAATATATCATATACACAGAGTACGTACAGTATATCATAATAGTTTTTCGTACTACCTTTGATAAATGTTTTATTATGATAGCTAAAATATCCTGATGTGTTGTTGAGTTTCCC